GGTTCACGGTCCATAATTAGCGACGAAGGAGATGATAGCTTGGAGCTGTTGTGTTCTTGTTGCGCAGGTGCGCTTGATGATGATGGCCTGGGCCAACAGTGTGACGATCTCATCCGTTGACAGCGGAGAATCGTCTGTAGCTTCGCCGGTTGTACCGGCCAATCCCGGAGCAGGGGGATCCGTCGATGGCCCGGAGGCTTGACCGGGTACTGCAGCGGCAGCCAACTGTTGGTTGAGCGGGAGCGGCGGCAACACTGGAATTGGCCGTGATTGGACCGGTGATAACGGAGGAAAGTTCTGCGCGTTGTTTTCTGGAACCTTCTTGCGACCGGGCTGGTTGTTGGACGAGGCCTTCTTCCGGATCTCGGCGTATTCGGCCCGCTTCGGACAGGCCTTACTCGTGGCCTTGTGGGCGGCACCGCAGTTGGCGCATGTGGGAGTGGCTTCCTCGATGCTGTCGCAGTTGTCGATCTTGTGGTTTTTGCCGCATTTGATGCAGCGGCTGGCCATGCGGCAATTCCTGGTGCCGTGCCCGAACAATAGGCAGTTCGAGCACTGAGTGACGCCACGGTGGGTGGGCTTATACCGCTCCCACTTCACTACGATGTGGAACAGTGTGCGTGTCGTCTGGAGATCCTTCACGGTTGTGGAGTTCTTCTCCAGATGGACCAGGTAGAGCTGGTCACGATACTTGATGGCCTTGCTGCGGGTCATCTTGTGGACTTCGACCGGCTTGAGGCCGTTCGCCTTAATCTCGTCCATTAAGGTGGTGGTGTCCATGTCGTGGAGCCCGCGCAGCACCACTTTCAGCGGCTTGGTGGCCTCGATGTCGTGGGAGAAGTACTCCAGCTTCATTCTGTCCAAGAGGGCCTGAACTGCGTTAAAGTGTTTTTCGGCCGGGACCATCAGTTTGTAGCCTTCCGTGCACCGTTGAATGGTGCAGCGAAGGCCCTGCTTAATGTAGAAATCCAGCTGCTCCCATAGCCCGGGAGGGAAGCCCTTCACATAGAAGGGTGGCAACTTAACTTTTTTCGGCACCGTCTCAGGGTCCGACTGCGGCTGGGCTCCGTTCTGCAGGGCGGAGAACGGATTGTTGCTCAGCAGCTTTTTTGCTGCTGATGCGGTGGCACTGCTGTCTTCAGGTCTGGGTCGTTTAGTTCCGGGAGGCCCCGGCTGCGGGTCCGCAATGCCTGTCGGGATGGGCAATGGGGTTTTCTTCTGCTTCTTCTGGGCTGGCTCGGTGGTCGCGCCATCTCCTGGGAGAGTCTGTTTTTCCGGTAAACCGGCACTCGCGTTACCGCGCGATTTCTTACCCATGGCTGGGTCAGCGAGAGCGTCACTACACAACGCGGAGCTAATTCGACTTGCGAACGAACGAACGAAACTAGAGAGAATTCAAATCGACTGAACTGCTCAACAGTCTGGCAGCGAATGATTTTGAGCTAATGCCATATACAGCAGCGCTCTTTTATATCTTTTCAGGTTAAAGCAGAATGATGCGCAACCAAGTGGTATAAAAGCTACAAAGACTCCTCCCATTATGAGTAGTTTGCTATCAAGTAGCGACACTGGCTCTTTTCTTTTTGCGTACACGGCGAATGAGAACGACCCAAATTTGAGTTTAGTTCACTCATAATCGCCAAAAGTGCAGGAACTCAGCGTGGAAAACCTAAAAAATCTGCCAGAAAATGAGGAAATTGATGAAAATTTTATTCAGTCACGGAGTAGTACCAATAGACTACACCATAGAGTGAATCCAATCTTTACTTTTCTCAAATTCGGGAATTTTTTCCTGGAAAATCCTGGAAAATCCTGGAAAATCCTGGAAAAACCTGGGAAAACATGAGGCAAATTTACTCATCGCTGAGTTCCTGCACTTTATTTCTTATTTCTGAGATAACTAAACTCAAATTTGGGTCGATCTCATTCGCCGTGATATCACCTTGAAAGATATCGGCGCCGGTGGTTAGCGTGATTAACTCTCACCCCAGCAGGCCTGGGTCCAATCTTCTTCCATCGAAAATATCCGGCCGTGGCGATTCAAAGATGATCAAGGTTGATCAAAATAATTTGTACCCCTGCTTCCAGTTTGATTACATGAGCGTTTTGTGTGGTCGTTGGTTCTGAGTATGGACAAACAGGCAGATGAATTCTATTCCTACTCTTTATTGTAATAAGCTTGGTGGCCCTGAAAAGAGCCATTTTGTTGCCAAAGTTGGTGATGATTTAACCTCCGAAACCAAACAGAGTGCGTCTCTGTCACTTCAAAACGTAGATGACATCCATGGCCACTTACGCTTGGCGTGTTTAGTGTAGGTGACAGCATCACGGATCTCATTTTTCAGGAACACCTTCAGCACACCTCGTAAATCAGACCGGAGATACGTCAGACACCGCCACGGCGATCCAGACGACGGATGGTGGTTATCTCGAAGAATTTGCGTTTGATTCTGAATGTGGCGATGAGTGTGCAAAATATTACGCAATTCCATCCTCCCTATTCGCACGCACCCGAGGATCGGAGGCGAATGCCACTTCGACTTGTTTCGTCTACTTACTACTCTCTGACGACTGTGCTGGGGAAGCAGCATATGCATGTAGGCAATTGGTGGATTTGTTAGTTAATTCGACGCTTTTGGACAATGCTGGACATTTACCAGTTTTTCAATAGTTTCTTGTTGAAAATCAACATTCGGAAGCATTGTTATCAATCACAGCAAGCAGTATCTGAGTGCTGATCAACACGGGTTTACTGGCGGTCGCTCTACAACCACCAATCTGCTATGCCTCACATCCTACATTACCGATAGTATGACTGAACGGGTACAGACGGACGTTATATATACCGATCTATCCGCGGCATTCGATAAGTTGAATCATGACATTGCGATTGCTAAACTCGACAGGCTTGGGGTGAGCGGTAATCTCTTGAGTTGGTTCCGTTCGTATCTTACTGGTCGCCAACTTATGGTTGCTATAGGAGATTGCAAATCAGCTAGCTTCTTTGCCACATCAGGTATACCGCAGGGAAGCCATCTGGGACCGTTGATTTTTCTACTCTACTTCAACGACGTGAACCTGGTTATCGAAGCACCTCGATTAGCATATGCAGACGACCTCAAAATATTTTTACGAATTTGCTCGATCGCTGACTGCCACAATCTTCAACATCAGCTTAATGTCTTCGCCAGTTGGTGTACTTTAAATCGAATGGTAGTGAACCCAGCAAAGTGCTCTGCCATAACGTTCTCACGAAAAAAGCAACCGACTGTATTCAGCTATGACCTGCTTGGAACGACACTCGAACACGTGAATCAGGTGAAAGACCTGGGTGTGGTTTTGGATTCACAGCTAACATTCAGGCAACACAGTTCTTATGTCGTCGATAAGTCGTCTAGGACTTTAGGATTCATCTTCAGGATACCTAAGAATTTCACCGATGTCTACTGCTTAAAATCTCTTTACTGCTCCCTCGTACGATCGACGCTTGAGTATTGTTCTGCGGTTTGGAATCCGAATTACAACAATGGTGCCGAGAGAATCGAATCTGTTCAACGTCGCTTTCTTCGTTTTGCGCTTCGTAGACTGCCCTGGAGAGATCCGCTTCGGCTGCCCAGCTACGAGAGTCGCTGCCAACTGATAAACCTTGAACCTCTCCGGATTAGAAGGGACACCAACAGAGCTTTGATTATCGCCGACACTCTACAGGGACGAATAGATTGTGAGGCTATCCTGAGGCAAATTGACCTAAACGTGCAACCCCGACCACTCCGTAACAACCTCATGCTGAGACTGCCACTGCGTCGCACGAACTACGGGGCATATGGTGCGATTTGCGGACTACAGCGTGTGTTCAACAGAGTCGCATCTGTATTCGACTTTCACCTCACACGTGATGCGCTTCGTCGGAGATTCTCATCTGTTTTCGCCGGCCGCAATCTATTATGATTAGTATTATTAACATCATTTGGGCTACAGCCAGCCTGTTGATGTATGAGAACAATAAACAATAAACAAAAATCAATGCGTAGCCATATTTCTGATCGATTGGTGATAAAATTATTGAAATTGGACCAGTGGCAGCTGAGTTATTAACGTTCAAAATCTTTCTTAATTTGTTACATGTTCCATTTTCAATTTTCACAAAGTGTACCCCCATATAGAAATCAAAGACGTAGTCCTACGTCAAAAAAAAAACCCGGAAAAGGCGGAATCATGTCAGAACCGACCAAGGACGAACTACGGAAGGAAATTGCCGGTGAAGTGCGGAATGAAATACGAAGCGTTAGAGAAAAAGTACATGGGATTCCAAAAGAAGCAATCAATGGCGGCAGACCAGCGGAACATGGTGAGACCGAGCCTATTATTATTTATAAATTAAACATCGAAGTTAAACTAAATAGGGGAAATGTATGTAATGTCGGCCTAAGTGTCCCTAATTTGGGCCCATACATAAATTCAGAAATCGACTAAATTTTCAATAGCAACCAAAAATTAGTTAGTACCGTCCCAATGACGCGTTCATCTAGATACAATTGATAAATAGCAGATTTTTAGCGATGGGCCTAATCTTAGATCCATAGGCTAACATTAGAGCTATTTCCCCTTCGCGCTATGTTTGAAAAGAATATTTTCGAACCTGGAAGTGTGTATGTAATACTAATATCCAATTGATAAAGGTATTACATACATGCGGTGCTTATTGTAAGTGAAAGTAGCCTCGGAATGGGCGGGACTCTTCAGACATTCTGAAATGGGTTGCTGGATCTGCAATAGAGCTATCACCTTCTAGCTCCCGGACTAAAGCTGTCTACAATGATCATAAATGCAGCATTGTAGAGAGAAAGTTCTTTCATCATAACACAGCCGGCCAGTGGGGGTTAAAAGAAATACACACACACACTCCCATTTAGTTCAATTCGATAAGCATCCCATTTCTCCCCTTATTCCCCTTCTACATGCCTCCATAAATCATTCATAAGGTTCCCCCTGCTACTTACAGCTGCTAAAATCTACTGGGCATCTTTGTACGTCTAACGGGTACAGTACGAAATCCATATCGCACTTGAAGATTATTGTTGCTCTGCGGAATTCGAACCTTGCTTGTAAATTATCAATCAACTGCCGGGATCATTCGCAGAGAGACTCACCCCTTGGTCAGCACCAGGGTGCTATTTTTGTACAACCGCAACTTGCTGATCTCCTCGAACAGGGTCATCACCTTCATCTCGCGCAGCTGCCGGATGTAGAGGTCCGGAACCCACACCGTTTTCTGCTCGGTCGGTGTCAGCTCCACGTACTCCTTCGTCATGTTGTCCAGCTCGTTGTCCGGAATCGCCAGCCGGGGATCCTCCCAGGTGACTTGCAGGAATGCATCGATTGAAATTTCCTGAAAGTAGTGTGGCGCGGTGAATAGCGATATTGCTCTTGTCGTGCGGTGTGTAACGTTAATACCTCCTTGTTTTCGTCCACACCCGATATCCGGTTGATGTAGAGGGAGATTGCCACCTCCGTGTGTGAACCTGTGTAGAGAGGTGAAAAAAAAAAAGAAAATTCAATCGCTTATCGGTTACCAGGCACCTCCATTCGAGGGCGAGTGCATTGCGTGGCCGTCTGCTAGCCTGGCATTCTGGCATTCGTGGAATGGTTGGGTATGTGCGATAACGACCTTCTATGAGCCACCCTTCACTCATGTTCGCGAGTGCGAGTAAGAGGCGTGTTTGCGAGTTCTAAATTTAATTGCATTTGTGCATTATCCACTGCATTGCCATTTGAAATGGAGTTGTCAATAATGAGATATAGAAGATGAGGGTCCTCTATTGCTATTATTGACGCATTCAAGTTCAACCTTTGCACCTCCGATGGCCATCATAGACACCTATTTGGATGCTAGTATTAGCAATTAGCCGCTCGGATAGAATTTCCGAGTAAATCCAGCGTCAATGTCAAGGAGACGCTAGACGAAAAATAGTACCGACCAGTCTTATAATTAGGTAGATAGGAAGTGGGGGAGTAGTGCCGGCCTTCGGGGGTGCGACGCAAATCAAGGCTTTGGGAAGGTGTGCTATTTTCTGGGTTGGGTTTCAACAGCGAGACTAATTTGGAGAATTTATTTTCATCGCCATCGGTGGTGGTCGTGCTTTGATGCAGGGCTGACGGCCGACCGGAGAAGGCAGGTTTACTGACCTATCGAACTTTAAAACAGTGGCAATAAAGTAAATGGATCGGAATGCAATTATCTTATTGCAACGATGGCGATGGCGGTGGATCGTGGTTGGAGACTGTTTGAGTGAGAGAGAGAGAGAGAGTGCAGGATGCGGCAAAAGATATCCAATTACTGTAGGTGGATGATATTGCGATGCATAAGCGTGGAAAGGTGCATTTTAGGTGTGATGAATGTTCTGAGACAGGTGCGACGATGGCGATGAGGGTGTAGGTATTTGCTTGCGGTATGTAATTATTTACTACTGGTGCGAGCCAGGTTGAGGAATGCGGAAGAAAATTGATGATACGCTATAGGGAAATGTGGTGCTGTTATTTGGATGGAAACGACATTTTTGCGTGATTAAAGTGTTTGATCTATTTCATGGTCAGAATCGATTTTCTTTGATCGTTTCTATTTGGGCAGTTTTGTTCCTTTGTTTACGTTTGTTATTTGTGAAGACATTTTCGTTTACAGCAGTTACATTCTTGTCATCAGTCAAATCGTTGTTAAATCATCCTAATGAATTGAAAACAAATCCCTTAATTTGTTTGCTGAGCCGTCTTTTCTCAATGTTTATTGTACATTCACAGACAAACATACATAACACTCGCAAGTTGTTCATCGAACAAGCATTTAACGGACAATTTAAAAGTATCGTAGTTGGTAGTACTGCCATCTGTTCAGCGTAGTGCCCACTACAGTGTACTCAACAGATAGTGGTTATGTTTTAGCGACGATGGCTTACCGTGAGAAATATTCAATGTGTTATGCCTGTTTGTCTCTGGTACATTGGTGCTTATTTTCCAGATATATTATGAAATATAGTTCAATTTAATGGCTTTATATAATGGAGCTAACATGGCACAGTGGTCCAGAAATGAAAATTAGGAGGGAACAAATATTTTGACCCAGAAATTGCAACTTTATCAGCATAGTGCATTCTGTGAATTGTTGCTAATAATAAGGCCTTTATTTTGATGAATGTTGCAAATAGGGTGGTCCTAAAAATGAGAATAATATATAAAAATAATGAAACCTTTCTAATGATACAAGAACTGTATTTTCCCCAACTGAATTGGCTTTATCGTGACTGTTTTTTTATCAAAGGATTAAATGAGGTACTTCTTTCCGCAAAAATGTACTACTTTAATGAGTATTGAAATCTATTAGAAGACTACTTTCACGTCTAATTTTAAATAAAAGAGTGATTCGTCCAACAGGTTATGTACTTCACACACATCTTATCGGAAAGTTTCTTCGACCGGATTTAAATAATGAACGACTGGTTACTTTAAGGGCAAAGGAAGCGGGGCGCCCGGGAGAACTGTTTTACTAATTTCATGAAATTGAGCAAGTTTTCTTGGGATTTTCTTCCACTTGTCTGTCCGGAACTGATTAGAGATCATTTTTTGGGAACAAACTATACTGATAAATCTATTTGTTTTTACAGGAATGTGTTTTTACTGAAAAAAATGGTCAAAAGTACTCGACATTACTTTGGTTTTCTAGTTTCAACACCGGGCCAGGGCAATTTTTTGGATATTTATGTCAATCCATCGATAGCCAACTCCCAAAAGAACAATTTGGTAATATAATATTGCCCAATTACTTTCACTAGGATTAGTGAATGTACTTTTAATTCAATACAAAAAATCCCAGATTTATCATAAAATTAGCCATCACTATACTACCATCTTTACGAGGCGACTCATGAACCTATCGAGATTGACCAAAATGATCAAAATGAATCATCGGAGCAATCCACTGTGCGGCATTTCATAAAATTAGAACTGCAGGCTGGTGACGATTTTATTTTATCGAATGCTCAGAATTTGTTCGCATTTTCCTGAAATTCCTCAATTTTTAAGAATTGTTTGAAAGTTATTAGTTTACATGTTCCTGACAACAAAAGCACCATATGGCATACCGCGCAAATAGAGCTGCACTGATGTTACTACATCAAAGAGAGCTGCACTGTGTTATAATAGTGCTATGATAAAACGGGGTAGAACATGGATAATTGCTAAACATTGGAACCCTAGCATAACTTCTTATTACCTCAATTTCTAACAATGCCTACTATTCAGTTTGATTTGTCTTTGAAACGATAGTTTCAACCAACATAATTGCACAGACCCACCCTAATCATTGTAAAAATGAACTGCTTCTTGGTGCACGCATTTATCCCGTGCGGTGAATATGCTTGTATAGGTGCGCTAAATGGACATGATCATATTACGCCCACGATTGCTTGAAATTTTTATATGGAACTATGTATATTTTTTTATATCAAATAATTACTAAGAGTAAAAGCAATCCAATGATGCCAATTATAGAACACAAATAATAAGTTCATAGCATACTTTTTGGATTTCCAAATCATGCGCAAACATTCCCCGCTATAGCAGCAGCACGCAGTGTGAAGTGGAAAGCCGAGAAATAAAAACAACCCACAGCGTATGTTCATCTACTTTGCATTCATTTTCGTTATGGGTAGCGATAGACACAATAAGCAGCTACGAAATTTCCGGAGCATCCGTAAAAGTGATCAATTTATGAAATTGATTCTAGAACTCTGTGTTTTTTTCAAAACCACTCATAGACGTCTTTTCAGAATTATTTTGGAGTTGTGACTGGAATATGGACCCTGGGTATCACAGAATGGACCTCTGGATGATCTGGAACATCCATATAAGTGGTCAATTCAAGAAACTGATTCTAGAATTAGATTTTTTTTTGAAACTATGTATGGAAGTCTTATCAATATGAATTTGGAGATGTGAGCAGAACATTGTCCCTGGGATCCAGGGGACAGTACTCCGGAAGATCTGGAACATCCATCGCGATGTATGTTAATTAATATAGAGGCGAAGAGAGCTTACAATGATAGCTTTTGATAAACGATGTTATTGTGCAAAGGGTGAACACCACAGAGATTTATGCTCCTACTCGTCCTCTAAGAAGCATACATTTCTTTCATGTCAACAATCAAAGAAGGAACTTTGCTAGAAATGGGACGTTCAATAAAATGATGTTTTGTTATAACGATTATTGCGAAACAATTGACGTGACAATGAACAAAAGTATGCTAAAATTTTTCGAGTTGAGCCAGATAAGTTGGTATAAAAAAACAGACGTTATAAACTTATTATAACTGAAATAGTCGACGTTTGATTGGTGAAGAATTAGTAAATAAATAAAAATCATCGCCCCGAAGTGCTTTTTCTCGGTAACATCTGAAATTATCTTCAAAATGTATTGGTTGACCATAATATAGCTACCCCATGATTTGTACGATCGCATTAGCTAAATGGATATTATGTTATATAAAAATAAGGTGGAAAATTGAGCACTTCGTTTCTCGATCCACAGTACTTGTTTAAAAAAAAAATTATTGGCAAACATTAATTGTGGTAAAAAATATTTATAATATTAGCTTAGCTAAGCTTAGCTTAGACTGACTGCACATATCAATGGTTGCTACTCCGTGATTGATCAGAATCAGTGAAATTGTACAATGAATCAACTGAATGGGACTGAGAGTGACCGTTCATTCTCATTGTACAAGTTTCAGTGACTCCATATTTTATAGATCAATAACGGCGCCGGCCACGTCCTTGCAATCAGGTCAGAGTAGGGAAGGAATATTAGAGTGACCTTTGTTGTTTGTGGGCCGTGTTTACCTCTGCGCCCCAACAAAAGACACAGGAATGGAAATTTTGTTAGTAAGTTGGGTTCGTTGGATCAGGATTCACCTAAATGATGCGACCATGTTTTTAAATGAATCAGTGTTATCATGCATTATACTTGGATTTGCCTGATGCCTAAACAAAATAGTGGATCATTATAATATAAATCTGAAGACTTTCCATCATCGTAAAGCTGAAAATAAACTTAGAGCATGAGCATGAGCAAAATTGACCGCCCGCGACTGCCAACACCAAAGAGCTGAAAACCAATTTAAACAAATCAAATTTGCAGACAAAAGCAGGGTGAAATCTGTAAGAGTGAATCATTACAGTTTAAATCTTATGACGTTCCGTTATCGAAGAGCTGGAATAAAACTTAAATAATTTAAATCAATAGATCCAGTCTGAATGAAGGCTTAAAAAAGAGAATAACAGCAATGACCCCATTTTGTCAGCTAGCAAAGTATGTGTATCTGAAAAATCCATCTTGAACGAGGAAGACATGAAATTATAATTATGTGGAGTTATTGTAAAAAATAACAGTCTGATGCGCGGAGAGGCAGACAGGATCGGGTCATAACTGTAGTGTGAATATTAGGAAGATTTATCATCATCAAACTATTCT